ACTCATTTATCTCTATGAATGCAGATTTATGGACCTATAACTGAATATATGTGTTAGGGCCACCACTGCTTGTAACTCCACAAAGCATGTTGACCACAAAACCTATAGAGAGTCACGGGAGCCCAGCCTGAAGCCCAGCCCGTCTGCTCCCTGCATCCTCAGCCCGACCGTCACTAGCTCAGAGCACAGCTTACCCACCTGCCAGCACTGCTGCACTGCCTCTGCTGTGGCTGTCTCCTGGCCTACACTGTCTTTTCCTAATCTTCTTTCCCAAGGAGACTCCTCACACCTTCTAAGACTCTGTCTAGAATCACCAGGAAGCCTTCCCTGGCCCACGCCTGCCTGTCCAGCTTCCCCAGGCTGGGGAAAATCCTTCTCTTGGGATTTCTAGGTGCGCGGTGCGCCTCTGTCCCTCCATGACCCTCCTCACACAGTGACTTTCTGATGATGCACCTGCCTCCCCTTTCCATGGATAATGAATTCACCCAGGACAAGGCTTTGTCTTTTTCTTTCTTGAATCTGAAGCTCACCTGCCACTAGAGTTTGTGAATTTCTGTTGAACACACGGAAGGCCTAGGAAGCTGTTGGGGAGAGAGAATGAATGACTTCCTTCAAGGCCTCCTGGGCAAAGCAGCAGTGGAGCGGAACCAGAGCCGGAGGTCACTGGCTCCTCATTTAGAGCCCTCCCTTGAGTCTGGGTGCCTCTTCTCTCCCATAGCTGGAGCTTGGCTTTGCTTCCTGGAGTGGGTGGCGCTGTTTGGCCACCACAGCACAGCATCTTCTCTACGCATCGCCCCCCCCCCCCCCCCGCCCCCGGCACCCAGGGAGGCAGTGTCCCCAGCCCGTGTTCACAGCCATGCCCTTCTTGATGGCTAAAGCAACAGCGCCACCTCCCGGCTTCAAGGCAACCGGGTGTGGCCTGACCTGGGAGACCTTGGGCGCCCTCGTGTGGAATTTCAGAAAGTGGACTGCGGAAATGACTGGGTTACCCCCAGCTGACCACGAGGCCCGCTGGGCACTTCCACCTGAGGTTTGAGTGGTTCTGTGGCCTGTGCAGGGAAACCAAGCCTAGAAAGTAAGCCTTTATAGCTACCTTGGCATAGAGGATCAGAGGCATATGAGGGCATAAGTTGTCAGGCACAGGGACATTTTATGCTCCCTGGAGACAAAATGTCCAGAAAGCTCCACTAAGCAGCATATAAAGCAGTTATGGAAAGGAACTGTGGAGAAGAAAGAGGTGAAGGGAGAAGAAAGAGGTGAAGGGAAAAGAAAGAGAATGGTATTCCGACCCACATGCCTTACCACCGGGGCTGAAGTCACTAACAAGGCCATTTAGAAGAGCAGGGCGGAGCTGAAACAGCCTTTCCCCAGGAGTCCCCGGCATTTCCAGGTTCCCTGTTTTGAACCATTCAGGAAAATACTAAGCCCCTGAATCTTCACTCAGCTCCGTGGTGCCTGGCAATTGTTGGATGTCCCTGGCTTCGGCTCGGCTTCGGCTCCTGTGTCAGCCACATAAGAATCTCAGCATTTTGGGAACGGGAGCTCAACTTGAAATACACTTCCTTGAAAGAATTATTTTGTTTTGGGACAAGTCTCACATCAGTCTGTCCTGCCAAGAGATTACTGCTGTTAAAACTGTTGGTTTTCATTGCTGTCAAACACCATCTTACAAGGAGAGAGGGGGCAATCACTCTCAACACCCAGCTGCAAGAGAAGAATTTTGACTGGGCAGGACTTTCCTGAAACCCTCTGGAGAATAAAAAAGGAATATCTAGAATAGCTGTTGTCTGATTATGCTTCCACCCACAGTGCGCCAAGCCATTCCTGGCAGTGCACTGAGCAGGATCCCTCCACCTGCAATGAGCCTGTTGGCACATCTCACGTGCCAGGGAGAAGGCCCACTGAGGACCTGAAGCTGAAAGTGCCACTTAGTTTTGCACATGTTTGCATTTCCTCTCCATTCCAAGGCAGACAGTCCTCAGTCCAGCCCAACAAACAAAGGATGGGAAGAATAAAAAATGACGTTCCAACAATATTTCTGCAGATTGAAGCTACTGAAAGGATGCTAGACCAACCACACAGATGCTTCCTTTTCCATGATGCCTTGAGAAACACTTGAGAGTGAAAGAGTGAAATTTTATGCTATTGGCCTTGTTCTCTTGTCCCTTTTATTATAAAATTATTCTAATGCAAAACCTATAGAAAATTGGTAACTCAGAGTCTCGCCAGATGAACTGTTATATCAGACTATGCTCTAGGAAGAACTATTAGAAGTCAAAGATACTAACTTTCCAAGTGTTCACTTCCATCTGTTTTCCCTCTCTGGGACTCACTTTCCTACTCTGTACAATTGGGAAGTTAACCTACTTTCAAGGACCTTTACAGTTCAAAGGCTCTTTGGTTCTGTGAAAGGAAGCCTTGTATCATCCCGTGGTGGGCTGCATGTCACATTATCACACAGAGCGGTCCTTGCTTTACAGAAAAATATTCATTTGCTCATTCATTCACCTATCCACTCATTCAACAGTGAGCACCTACAGTATTCCCGACACTGCTGTAGGCAGAGCTGTAGGGTGAGCTGTGAATGAAGCAAGGTCTTGGCCCTCCTGGGGCTTGCATTCTTATGGGAACCACACACAATGAAAGATTTAAACATAGATAGTGTAACATGAAGTGACATAAATCAGGCACAGAAAAACAAATACTGCTTGTTGTCACTTACATGTGAACTCTAAAGAGCTGAATTCATAGAAACACTTAGTAAAATAGTGGCTAAGAAGCTGAAGGGTTGTAGAACTGGGGAGATGTTGGTCAAAGGACACAAAATTTCAGTTAGACAGCAGGAGTAAGTTCATGAGATCTATTGTAGAACATGGTGATTACAGTTAATAACATACTGTATATTTGAAAATTGCTCACAGAGATTTTAAGTGTTCTCACCGCAAAAATGATATGTGAGATAATACATATGTTAAATAGCTTGATGTAGCCATTTCCACAATGTGTACATATATCAAAATGTCATGTTCTACCTGATAAATCTATACAATTTTACTTGTCAATTAAAACAATTAAATGTAGTGTGATGTAATATAGTATAATATAATAATACAATGGACTATAAATCAATAGTAAGTGCTATGAAGAAAAATCAAGCAGGATAGGAATTATGGGATAAGGAATGCTTTTTTTTAGACAGGGTGGTCAGGAAAGCCAAGAAGGTGGCATTTGTGCAGACAGTGGAGTAGGGGCATCAACCATGCTGGGCAGAGAAAAGAGCAAATGGAAAGCCTGATATTCAGGCACGTGCTTGGTGTCCCCATGGAGACTGGGGGAACGAGGCTGCATTCCTGGATTTAGGTTTTGATTCTAACATGCCTTTAGAATTTAAGAGCATTCTTAAGAGTCAGTGTTGTGTGAAAGGCTCATTGCTAGAACTGGGAGTCTGTGCTAAAGGACTCCCTAAGGGACATGCACTCATCTACACAAGAGAAGGTACTGCTGGTGGAAGAAGGCATGTGCCAAGCATCCAATGCATGGCACAAGACACTAGTTCTGAAGGAGCTCCCAGAGATGGGTGTTTGAGCACTCAGAGATGCGTCGGTGAGCAGAGGAAGTTTAATGTGGACCTTTAGGAAAGGGCCAGGCAAACTGAGAGAGGTAGACTGTTCAGGCAAGAAAGGAGTTGGCAGAGGGTGTCAGCAGGAGTGGACTTGGCTTAATTGGCAGTGGCTTGGTTGGAACAAAAGCATCTCACAGCAGAGCCATGGGAAATAAGGGGTGTCAAGAGGCTAGCCAAAGAGAAAGGAAGAGGCCTGATTCCTCACACTAAGGCTGGATAAGAAGATGCTCCTCTGAATTCAAATGAGATTTTATGATCAAAATGGTTAGGACTTTGATGCTATTACTCTAGGAAAGGGTTAATGGTTTCCCCTTAAGTGCTGAAAGGGCTGTTTACCTCACAGGTCACTAGGCCCCACCTGCCCAGGAGGCCCAGTTAAGGAAGGATGGCTGCCTAGCACTGCCTTCAGGGTGGAGTTTTCTCCTGTGAATGGCTGCTCTCTGCATTCTGCCCAAGCCCTCCAAGTGCTCAAGGGCCTTGTGACCAGGAGTCACCTTTCCGAAAACCAACATGACTGGCTCAGAAGTGAGCTGGTCTCCATCCCAGCCTGCATCTTTCCATCCCTACTCCTGAGTATGTAAATGTGTAAGACCCTAACTTACTGGAGCATGGCTTGAAGCCTGGGACATCAGACCCTGTGTCCACTGAGCACTGTGGATGTGGACTATGCCCAGGGCTGCATTCTGAGCCATGCCTGCCAGCCACACACTGGTGTCCGCCTGGTGCACCATCTATGAGATAATGTCTCTCCATTTTGGGATTGTGACATAGTAACATCAGACCTCAGTGGCCAGTGCCTGCATTCCAGGCCTGAGATCAGTGTGACAGCAGAGAAACCTGAGCCACGAGGGACATTCTCAGGCTCAAAAATCACAAACCCGACAGGGAAAGGAATTTGATCAGAAAACAACACCATTTAGGTTATTTTAATGCCTGGATTTGAGCTGCCCTTTAAGGGGAGCTCCTTCTGTCGCAGGACTTGATTATCAAGTGATCCTGGCAAATGACTTACACTTGTTTTTAACTGTAGAACAAGGTCATGTTTGTTTTGGGCATACTACATGGAGTAGACTTTGGGTGACAAGGTAAGCCCAGCTCAGGCCTGTTTTTCCATGCATACAGCATGCAGGCCGACAGGGCAGAGGCCAGGTTCTGAGGCTTTGTAGCCAATGACCTGGTGTGGGTGCAGGGAGAATGTCTTCCACTCTTGCATGTACAACTCCTAAAACTGCTACCCTTACTGAGGCACTATACTGTTGAATGGCACCAAGGCATTCTTCGATCATCTGAAACTTGCAGCTAAGAGGTGGGAAGAGACAACCGTTAACCACTCAGAGGTGACTGTTAGTTCATCAGTCAATCAATTTATGAATCAAGAAACATGTGTATATCTACTTCCTAGGCATTTTAGTATGTGCAGGGACAGTACAAATCAACACACAACACAGTCTTCATTATTAAAAAAGTACGTAATAGAGGTACGAAAAATAAGACTTGTACTCAGAGAACTATAAGATAAATGGTCAAATGTTCAAATGGCCTGGCACTTCTGGTAATTCCAGCAGACAAACAGCATGAGAAAAGGCCAGGAGACAGTCCCTGGCCCATTGCAATGAGTTACCCAATCAAACCCTTTTATCTCCTTAAGATGGCAGATTAGAAGACTCCCTTCCTCAGAAGAGTGGGAGAGTCTGCCTTCAGGCTGTCAGTAATGTTAGGTAAGAGTGAGTGGCTGATTTATGCATTTTTAAAATGTAAGAAGGTTTGACATTCTGCCAAGAGCAATGGAGGGCAGCATGGTTTAACAGTGAAAAGACTGGACAGGTGCCAGGAGCCTTTAACTCTAAACCTACTAAACAGAAAGACCTTGGGTGAACTTTTCATTGAAACACTGAAGGCTTTAAGTTCACATCTGTATACGAGGGATAATTTCTCTGCTGTAGGGCACAGAAATACCATGAGCTACAAGCTGGAAGACTCAGGTCCTGGCTTTCCTAATAACAATGGCATTTATTACGCACTGTGTGCTCAAGGTTGTTCTTAAATATATTAGCTAATTTAGCTCCCCTGCCCGCCCAATCTCTGTGAGGAAAGCACTATTCTTATGAGCATTTAATGGACAAGGAAACTAAGGCATAGAGCTGTGAAATCACATCCCTGAGGCCACAGAGCTAACTACTGGCAGAGCTGGGATTCCACTGGTTGGTTGATTAAGAACATGGCACAGCCCATATTCTTAATCCCTGTGCTGTTGCCTCCCAGTAAACTGGGTGGTGAGTGATCTTGGGTAAAAGACAAGCTCTCTGCATTTCAGTTTCCTCTTCAATAAAATGAGGACATGAATATTAATAACTTGCCAAATTACCTTAAACAGTGATTATCAAGAGCTAAGTAAGGTATTGGATATGAAACACTTTGTGATATACAAAGTCCTATACATGTGTGAAGTCTGTTCCTCAGAGGAATGATGAAAAGATTAAATGAGATGGCTGATGGGAAACTCTCTGGGACATGAACATGTGTATGACCTGGATGATCAGTGCCACCACCATCCTGGGAAAGGATGAGCAGGCTCTTGTACTCCATGAAAATTTAAGGATGTGACTTATTTTTCATATCTGTGTGGGATCTTTAATCAACTTGATTTTGGCAGGTTTAAAGAAGAAAAAATGGAGAGAAAGTTTTTATCCTAGAAGCCTAGGGAAAGTCAAGTATATTCCTCTCAAGAAGAGAGTCGCAAGGTTTCCTTTCTTCCTTCCTTGAGACTCAAATGAGGTGGAAGAAATCTTTACTGAGATGAGATTTATTTTTAGGACCAACACTGAGGGCATCGTGGTTGTTCTGGAATCTGGCCAGGCCCTAAGAGACAGTTTCTGCTCCCTACCTGACGTTACCAAAGCTGGACAGTGTCTTCTCTACGATCCAGTCCAACTTTTTTGCATGGAAGAAACTGAAGTCCAGGGAAGTGAAGAGATTGGTCCAGGATCACTAGGACCTGTGACTAGGAGACAGCTCTTCTGATGCCAGGCAAATGTGTGTTCTTCCTCATTTCATTGCCTTCCTTTTGGGTGGGTTTGGAGGTGAGTGAAATTATTTTGAAGACCTACATGAAAATCCTGTGACAATTCCAAAGAACAAAATGATTTTTAAAAAAAATATCTTCTCTGAAATGGCTCCATCTCTGCCTTCATATTGCTTGAAGAGTTAAACAGACATAGTCTGCATGAGTCTCAAAGATACTATGAATCACCTGTTTTCCTGTGGTAAAAAGGTGTTTCCAAAAGGCTGATTTTCACTCTCCTCATGCCTTCCCTTTTCACATAATGGGGGCAGAGACTCTCTCCTAAAGACAGGAAGAGAATAAGCCTTCTTTGGTGTTACTGCTCCTTCCCACTTTTAGCTCAGCATTATAAGCACAAAACAGGTGGGTGCCAGAGCTTTTTCACCAGGGACTGAGTTGCAGAGTCTGTTAGTGGGGGGAAAAAACCCACCACCCTTTCTGAGCCCAGATTTCATCAGATTTTTTCCTGTGGTGAGACAGAGGCCCCTTCACCCCAGCAACCAAGAGGGTACAGCTGGATATTTGCTTATGAGATGGGTCATAGTTAAGGGCTGCCAGCCTGGGGTCTGTTTCTGGGACATTTCCACGTCAGATTAGACAGGCATTGGAGTCAGGAGCTAGCTGGTTACTGTGGCAACAGGCCCTCAGAGCTTCACATTTTGGATGGAAGCTGCTATGCTATGAAACTTGCTCAGGACACCCTATTTCTCAGTTTGAGGTTAGGTATCTCCCCGCTGCACACACACCCCATGCCCCAGCACATTCTCACAGCAGAGAGGACTCTGGAGGAGACAAGAACCTAAGCCTTCACCCTTGCTCACTTGGAACTAGGCGTCCTTGCTGTCATCTGGTTTAGTCAAGGGGGCTGTGAGGGGTGTGGGCTTCATTGTGAGTGCAGGAAAGACAAAAAGAAACTTGCCAGATGGGGATGAGGATTCCAGGCCTATTAGGAGGAAGGAAATATGTTACTCACTGCCACAAGAAGGCTGCCAACTTCATTTATGGATCAGCAACTGCTTGTAGGCAAAGTCTGTTACATGCCTGTGGCTAGGCTATGCACCGAGGATGGAGGAACTAGCTAAGGCTTATGAGCTAGAACAGATAAAGAAAGAATTGTCTACCACGGCTTATGCTGGAAAACTTCAGGAAACAAGACAATCTGCCTCCAAGGGCAGTAGAAAGACAGCCCAGTAGGAAGACAGACAAACAGGTAATCCCTAAGGGCAGGTTAGAAAGAAGCTTGACTAGTCTAGGTGCTTCTAAATAAAGACAACTGTGTATGTTTCAAACAAGTTGTGTGGGTCCAGTCAATTTAAGATAAACTTTGTTTAATTGCATTTTATGTTGTAAAAGGGAACCTCTTCATTACATTGCCTAGCAGTGCAGGTAAGTAAAAAGGCACATGAACTATATGAACAGATGTCAGTAACAGGCTTTTGGTTTACATGTCATCTTTTCCATTTGAGCATTAATTACTCAGTATTTTCTCATCGGTTCTCAGAAAGTTTCTTGAGGATAAACTTGTAGAGGTGATTTGGGGAGAGGAAGCTTTATCGGGATCTCTAGGGGCTATTTTATATTTTCCAGTGTCTGAAATGTTTTTACAACAGATTTTCTACAGAAAGCTCAACAAGTCACTAAACTTTCTGAGTCTCAGAATCTGGGACTTAAAAACAAGAGATGTGAATGGCTGAACTTTCTAGTTGTGTGAGTAGTTTGGAACATATAAAGCATTTGTCAAAATGTTTAATCTCAGGGTTGGTGGTTATTCTGACTTCACATAAGGGAACATCTGGCCAAATTTCCTCACAGAATATCAGTTGTTGAATCAAGTACAGAAAATATCATACATTTAAGGTTGACATATAGCCTTAAGTTGATGTCCATATTGATTTAACTATCAAAAAATAATTAGACTAGTGGGGTAGTCAGGTCATCCACAAAGACTGATGAACTGATATAGGAAAGAAAAGGAATAAAGAAAAAGCAATTTTGAAGTTCCATGAGAACAGGAGAAATGATATACGAGGAGTTTTTTGAAGAAAGTTTCTTCTCTGTTGCTATGTAGTTTTGTTTTTAATAAGGAGTTTCAGAAATGAACATAGAGAAGCAATTGGGTGAGGCTGCCTGCTAGATGAGGAAAATTTCTATCACTTGGGAAAAATCCACGGAACTCCTAATCCTATTAAAAACTTAGGTCATTCCATCCCAACAGCACTCATTCTTCCATGTCCAAAACCATACAGGGAGCTTGTGTTTCAATACAAGCTCTTGCCTCAGTCCTCTCCAGATTGCTAAAAGGAGGCCTATAACCTGGCTCTTCAGCAGAAAGACCGCGGGTATTCCTGATGCATCCACACATGCACACTTACTTCCCTTTGATCTGTGGCAACAAGCTCTGACACTGCAAATGTCATGTCATCCGCAAACCCGCATGGATGCAGGGTACACACCTGAGCAGGGGGTAGCCTCTGATGAAAACATTTGAGCAACAGATTTCTTTACCTCATCCAAACAGATCCACTGAAAAGGAAACTTTTCAAGTCCCCAACCACATGCAAGAGGTATAAAGCTGTCTGGGCAGATCTGGTATAAATTAGACAGTGCTCTTCACTGGAATAAGTGGTTAATCTCAAAGAGGTTTTCAGTGGGTTCTCCACCAATCTTTACTCTTCAAGCCTTACCCTCAAGCATTTCCATAAAAGGCACCAGCACACTATCTGTGGGATGTGGAAGGTTGGGAGGGAAGAAGTAAAAAAACCAAATGAAAGTAACAGTATCAAGATCCAAACTTATTCACAAATTCTGCCTCTTAAATAATATTTCATTAAGTTTTAATATTTATTTTGTACCTGTTATACACTAGGTATATACATATAGTTAGGGAGGCATAAGGATCTAATAGGACTAAAAGAGTTAAAGGTACATTTGTTGCCCTTGAAGAACTGTAATTTCTTACTGAGAACTTCATATACATGCACATTGACTAGAGAGGCAGTGTAAATAACTCGAAAGAAAATGGGAAAAGTTTTGGCTGGTGCACTCAGACAGTGCTTCATGAAGAGGGAACTTGAATTGGTCCTTACAGGCAGACGGAGCCTACCTGCCGTGCTGGAGGCTGGAAGGTAATCTACCACGTGGAAAGAAGAAGGGCATGAGCAAAAAAATGAAAGCAGAAAGGAACATGGTGGTTTGGGCAGAAAAAAAGAATCCCTAGATTTCTGTGGAACTTTCTCATCTAACCTTCTGCCTACACTATTTCTTTTGTTTTTGAGACAGAGTTGCTCTCTTGTTGCCCAGGCTGGAGTGCAGTGGTGCAATCTTGGCTCATGGCAACCTCCGCTTCCCAGGTTCAAGCGATTCTCCTGCCTCAGTCTCCCAAGTAGCTGGGATTACAGACATGCACCACCACGTCCAGCTAATTTTTGTATTTTTAGTAGAGACAGGTTTCTTCATGTTGGTCAGGCTAGTCTTGAACTCCCAACCTTGGGTGGTCCGCCCATCTCAGCCTCCCAACATGCTGGGATTACAGGCATGAGCCACTGCGCCCAGCCTCTAAACTATTTCTATAATATATTCTGTCCCCAAGAAAATGCTCTACTGCCAACCAAGCCTATGTGATTCTCCTAGAGATGCAGGAGTCCTTAATGAAAGCTGCCCTCACTATTCCTGAAAAAGCCGCTTGCATTTATAGATCACAGAGGGCAAACTTTAAACACAACTGCATAAAGTGGCAAGGGACTGGGCTACCATTACCTCACTGAATTTGGATTCCACGTGAGCCCCATATGTAAAGGAGTCAAACCCCAAAAGGGCTTTTCCTCCCTTAATAAGGTCTATTTTCCTTAGTGTCGAGATATGAAAAGCAGATATTTCATTTCAACATTCATGGTTAATCTTTTTGATTAACAGGAGCAGGATGATTCTTCACCATGGGACATGGGCAAAAGGGCTGATTACCTATGCTCGCAAGTCACCAAATCCAATTCAGCACAGAATAAACAAGACATCGCTTCTGTTGACATTTTAGTCTTTTTGTCTGCAATCAGGGACTTCTGTGTTTATCTAGCTCAGTCTTTACTCTCATGGGTTAATCCAAGTTTCTGAAAGTAATCACAGCCAACTCTCTCCCTTGCTTGTAACAGGGTGCAGCAGTAACATGGAACATAAGGTGGGAAAAAAGACAAAGTGTGGATCATCCATACATTATTCACAAACTTACCTTCTTGAGCACTGTAACACTTTAATATTAAAATTAGCTTACACTTCCTAAATAGCGAGTGGTGACAAAGAGATTGGGTTAAAAGAGTAGATAATGTCACTTCAAGAAATGTTTTCTGAGCTTGGATCTTGATACTGTTACTTTCGTTTTGTTTTTTAAATTCTTCCCTCCCAACCTTCCACATCCCAGAGAGAGCGTGTCGGTGACTTTCATGGAAGTGCTTGCAGGTAAGGCTTGGAGACTGAAGACAGGTGGAGAAACTAGGTTTCATCAGCTGGTGAAGAGATATCAAAGCTGGGAGTCATTCTCTGCATCCTGTCACATGCTTGTTTCTGTTTCCAAGAAAGCAGAGTTAAAATGGCCTTTCAGACAAGAGACCGGTGAGGATGACAGGGAAGCAGCACAAAGGCTCTGCAAGTCTGAAAATAGCATAGTGTGCCTGCCAAGGTGACTGTGGGTGCCCGAACTTCCTCCACCACTTCACAGTGGCCTTGGCTCTATACACTGTTGCTACCAAGTCACAGAAGGAAAAAAAATGATGACTTTCACTTGTTTCATGCTTGACACTGAAACATTCTTCTGGATTTCAAATTTTTTTTTTTCTTAAACCAGTCAATGTTGTCTTTGTGAAATAAGAAATATCAGGTAAGTCTTAGGAGGTGGACATATGTTTGGGGCAATGTCTTCCTCACTGCCTCCCTCATCCTTTATACCATAAAAGAACGAAGGCGATATGCTCGCTGAAATTCAGCCTTCAATGGTTTCATTTTCTTGTCTACAAAGGCAGGGTGAGCGACTACCGCCCTGTGATTTCTGGCAGTCCTAGTGGAAAGGAAACAGAGGTGCCAAGTTACGGCACAGCGTGCCCAGCTAGGCCTTCGACTACAAGAGCATCATGGTTTCCCTTCATCCCCAGTTACCATTCTTTCTCTGGTTCCCACCCCCTTGCCCATCCAGCAGTGTGGGCTAACCTTCCTCTCCTCATCCCAGGAAGATACATCTTGCTCTGGTGCAAAGTTAGATTGGACAAACGACAGGTGTGGAGGGGGCTGTGGGAGCTAAGGCTTGCCAGGATAGCTTGACTGAACTGAGTTCCTGAAACAAGGCATCTCCAACTGCTCCCTGCCCCTCAAACAGCAGAGGAGTGAGATAATCATGCTGTCGACATTTTTAGAGCACAGCACTTACACTTTTACTAGGCCTCAGTCCGGGCATATTGTATCAAAATTTGCATTTTAACCTGATGCCAGGTGAATAACACACACATTAAAATTTAGTAAGCAGTATTCTAACTCACTAGACCACAGGTCCACAAACTATGACTCATGGGCCAAATCCGGCCAGCTGCCTATTTTTGTAAATCAAGTTTTATTGGAACACAGCCACACATGTTTATGAATTGTCTACAACTGTTTTTACACTACAATGGAAAAACTGAGTCGGTACAACACAGACCACACTGCTGCAAAACCTAGTATTTACTCTCCAGCCCTTTACAGAGAACATTTACTGGCTCCTATAGTAGACCACAGACTCCTTAAAAGTGAGAACGCAGTCTTGTTCTGCTTTGTAAGGTAGAAGGGCAATTTAGTATAGTGGATATGCATGTAGGTCAGAGGCAGACTGACATGATTTGTATCTAGGCTCTGCCACTCCCTTGCAAATGACTGTGGGTAACACATAATCACTCTGTGCCTCATGTTCCTCATCTATAAAATGGGGATATATCAGGTTGGTGCAAAAGTAATTGCATTAAAATGGCAAAACCACAATTACTTTTGCACCAACCCACTACATCACAACCTATCTTTAAGGGTTTATTTGTGGATTAAGTAAGTGAAGATATGTAAAGGGCTTTAAGTAATGCTCTCAGAAAATGTTAACTATTAGCTGGTATCAGGCATTTTGAGAGTGGATGGGGATTTGCTGAATGTCGGCAGAATGGCCCTCCCTAGAGCAGACATTGCCTATCAACACCCATGCTCTGCTTCTTACTTGCTAACATCAATTATTTCTATAGATATCTGAGTTTCATGGAAGGTGACCTTATCTCTGGGGGCTAATACTATTGAAAACCAATCACAATGCCATTCTCAATTTCAGTGGACTGGTGTGAGGTGGGCAGTTCTAGTCAATGAGTCATAAGAGTTTTGTTTTGGTTTATTTTTCGACTTGGGGGTCTCACTCTGTCACTTAGGCTAGAGTGCAGTAGTGTGATCAGAGCTCACTGCAGCCTCAAATTCCTGAGCTCAAGTGATCCTCCTGCTGCAGCCTCCCTGGTAGCTGGAACTACAGGCAACAGCCACCATTCCTAGCTCATAATTTATATATTTTTTTGTAGAAACAGGGTCTTGCTATGTTCCAGGCTGGCCTTAAAACTCCTGGCCTCAAATGATCCCCCGACCTAGGACTCCCAAAGTGTTGAAACTATACATGTGAGCCACTGTGCTGGCCTAGAAGAGGATTCTTGAAGGGCTTCTGGGAAATGCTTCTTTCATTCCTTAGAAGAAAACATAGAAGAGATGGTCCCGTTCTTTCATGAATGTTATGTCTGGGTGTGATGCCTGAAACTGTAACACCAGGAAGGCAGGCAGTCTGAGAACAGAGCTGACATAATTAGAATGGCAAAGCAGAGAGATGGAAAGAATCCAGGCCCCTTAAGAGGTCCCAGAGTTGCTGAATCACCAACTCCTGGGCTTACCTACTCACGTACTAAAGTTATAAAATAAAATAAGTTTTCCTTGTAATTTAATTTCTGTCCAAAGCATCCTGATTCATGCAGCCAGAGACCACAGTTACACATATTTTTACCTTACCCAGGACCTAACAACTGCTGTTGGGTGCTGTGAGTAAGGTAGAACAGTAGCTGGAAATGAATAACCTGGGTAGGACACAGGAAGACTCAAAAATGTTCTGGATTATTCAAATTGAAACCACAAGATAGTAATATCACCTGATACCTTTTAAGATTCCATTATGAAAAAACAAAACATAACAAGTGTTGGAGAGGATGTGGAGAAACTGGAACACTTGTACATTGTTGGTGGGAATGTAAAATGGTCTAGCCATTATGGAAAACAGTGTGAAGTCCTCAAAAGATTAAAAATAGAACTATGTATGATGAAGCAACTCTACTTCTGGGTATTTATCTAAAATAATTAAAAGCTGGGCCTCGAAGAAATATTCATACTCCCACGTTCACTGCAGCATTTTCTCAGTAATCAAGGTTTGGAGGCAACCTAAATGTCCATCAATGAATGAATGAAGAAAATGTAGCATAGCCATACAATGAAATGTTTTCAGCCTTAAAAAGAAGAAAAGTGTCGCCTGCTACAACATGGATGAACCTGGAGGACATTATGCTAAATGAAATAAGCCAGTCAAAGAAGGACAAACATTGCATGATTCCACTTATATGACGCAGTCAAAGACAGAAGCAGAAAGTAGACTAGTGATTGCCAGAGGCTGGTGGGAGGGGAAAAGAGGAGTCGCTGTTCAGTTTTAGTTATGCAAGATGAAAAACTTATAGCAGTTTGCTACAAAACACTGTGCTGCTTCTAGTTAATAATGTAGTGTCTCAAAAAAATAACGTACTGTACACTTGAGGGTAGATCTCACATTATGTGTTTCTTTACAACATCACCTTATAAACTGTAAATTTCCAAAATGGAAATTGGAGTAGCTTGTATTGATTTTAAAATTTATACATGCCCCTAGGCTCAGATTTAGGAACTTACTTTCCATTTAGGTTTTGTTAAGTCGAATTGAAAAATGTGAAAAAAACTGAGTTATAGGTGGTGAAAAAGTGTAGCTTTCTTGAATTCAAATAAGCAATGGCAAAGATCACATTTAGAATTTGACAGAAAGAACACAGCATCCCTGCCTCTTCTTTTTTATAGATATTAAGAAAAGGGAAAGTACTTTAGTCTTACTTCAAGTATCAAAATTCTGAGTTAAATGAATAAAATTTAGTCCTGAGTAAATGCAAAAAACAAACAAGCAAACAAAAAACCCTTCCTGGATTAGTGCAGGCCCAATTCTTCACTGCCTTTTATCACCCTGCCAGCTGGGAGTATCTTTTCCAGATACCTGTGGCTTTCTACCAATTTCTGCTCTCTTGTTGTCTGAACCTGTTACCCAAACTTAGCAGGTCATTTACAAAGCCAGATGAGTTTTGATTATTTCCTTGGCAATATCCATTACCTCCCTCCTGGGTAGAAGGAGGGACTGAGGACAGCTTATCTTTTTGAGGCACATGGAGTGGAGGTAGGGACTTTTATATAACATGAAATACAAGTAAGTTCTTTGGGCTGGAAGTGTCAAAAGATTCCTTAGAATTTATAGCCACAGGGATTCATGGTGTGTCTGATGTACTTATTTTGTGCCCTATTTGAGCCAGGACAGGCAGCAGATTCAAAGCAACACAGGTGGCTAAATACACATGAAGGGAAGGTATGCGGAGAGAAAAGTGGCATAAAACAGGGCTGCCCCCTATGCCCATCCAGAATAGAATCCTGGCCCTCATTGAAGGAGCTGAATGAGCAGCTCTAATACATCGGCTGGACTCACATAAGGTAGAGATCCTGAGCTACCTCTGCCTGTCAAAGTCTAGGGCTGGAGATGCTTCAAGAACTTTGGAGCCATAAAGACACTGTAATGGTCAACCTTTAAGGCTAGAAGGGGCTATGAGACATCTCATTCATCTCCTTGCCTTTCGGCAAGAATTGCACACCTAAGCCTTCCAAATACATCAGATACAATTTAGGGTTAAAAGCCTCCAGAGGGGCAAAAAAGTAAAAAGATTTCACAACTTCTTCCACAAACCACTTTAATTGTGTGTTCATCACCTCCTTCAGAATCGAAGAGAACTTTAACACTTCTTGTTGACACCTCATTGCCTTCTCATCAGTCTAACTCCCAAGACCATTCTCCAAGTGCTGGCTCTGGTAATTCAGCAAAGGGAAGGCGCTAACAGGCAGGTGTGAAGCCAAAGGGCTCCTAGTGACTTCCTTGACACCTTTCTGCCAGCTATTCACATGTGTTTAATATGTAGCGCTTCCCTGTGACTGCATCCTTTTCTACCAGCAATTCCTCCTAATTTATCCTTCTCCTCCAGCGATTTCTAATTGCTTTGCCTTTCTAATAGATGTTGCAGCCTGACAGAACACCTCTGTCTTCATTGCTGGTGTTCTTAAAAGACTAATTATAACCATAAGGAATAGGAAATAAGCTATTCCTTGTAAGTTCTAATCTTATCTGTTCAGAGTAATAAAAGTTCCCTGTCAAGGAATTATCAAGGGAGAATTTATCCACCAGGCTTGCTATTCCTACTCTTTGTGTATTCTTAAGACAGAGGCAAGTGCTTTACCTTTTCTTTGCAAAAACTGAGGCTGAATATGCAACTTGTCATGCAATTTTGCTGAAGACAGAGAAAGGGTCACAAATTCAAAAACTCAATTGCTCTAGGGCAGGGGGTTGGAAGGAAAGCCAATAAATAAAATGTGTGGTACAAATGCCTTTCAGGAAGGGGTGTGACGGGTGGGGTGGATTTACCAGAAGCTTTGGCAGTCAGCTTTGAAGTCTTCTGGAAAGGAAAAGCAGCCTCCCAGGGAAGCAGCCTCATGACATCTTCCATAAGGCTGATGTGTTGAGAAATAGCAACACATGAGCAAGAAGTCCCTCGAAAAATTTTCTTCCCTCATTCTTCTTCTGGAACTGGTGGGAAACTAGATTAGACTCAAGAGTTTGTTTCTTGAAAATGGTCCTGAGTGAATTTTTAGTTTCCGGGTAGGAACAGAGCTCAGAAGGTTGTTTTCTCCTCCAAGGAAATCTGGCCACAGATTTTTCCTGTTCTATCCAGAGCTTGTGTGCTGGTGGATTAGGTACATGTGTGCACAAGGCCAGGGTTTTGGCAAACAATCTCAGGGAGGATGGCAAAAGCAGAAGCAAAATGGGCTTATTCCTCTACCTCACAGCTTCTTTCCCCAAAGGAAACAGGATCTACTCACCAGCAACAATCCCAACACCACAAAAGGGACATGGAAATAAATATGCATGCAACTGGGACACATGTCACCTGCTACAAATGGAACAGAAGTGGGAGAGAATTAAGCCACTGACAGCCTAGGTCTCCTGAGCTGTAGCCTACTTCTAGAGGGCATGGGTCTCCTGACTGGTGTCTGGGTGTCTGAGTAACTCTACTTCCCTGACCTGGGAATAATACGTGAATGCCAGCTAAGAGGAGACACCCATCCTCTTAGGGTTGCCTGGGGTATCTGAAGCAGAGGTGGTAGTACCAGATTCCTCAACAGAGGCACTGAGATCCAAGAATTCCAGGATGATGTCCCCAAGGCAGTAAATCAAATGCCTGAAACAAATGGACAAAAATCTTAGGGTCTGGCTCAGTCAGGAAACACAAGATCCTGTTTATGACACTTATCTTCTCCTCCCCCATCACCAATGCCCCAAACTTCAATAGTTTGATGAAGCCTCTGCCATGAAATTAATGTTTTTTGAACTAATAAAGCCTCTGATCCTAATAAAGACAAGAACAGTACTTGAGGCTAGGTTTTATGAAATTCCATTTCTCTTCACATAGTTACATTAGCACTGCTCTGAAGAACTGTGATAACAAATCCTTGAGACATCAGGTTACTAGATACTTTCAGAATTCCTGAATACTGTTGCTTCTCGTAATTAATTACCTTAAATTTACAGGGTGCCTTGCAGGCAGTGAGGTAAAGCCAGGATTCTTGAGGAAGTTAACAAACATAGTCAACTTTGGGATAGGGTTTGAGTGCAAGATGACTCAATACTTCCAGAAGAGTAACAGCCCAAGGGGTGGAATCTACCTCTTCTGGATTATTCTAGGACTCTTCACCCAGCATTTCCAGTCCCCTTATGAGATTCCAATCTTACTATCTTGTCTTATGAAGCAAAGACAACTCCTGGTGTGATACGAATCACAGCTTTGCTCTGAGGCCAGGGGCTTACGTTGAACATCTTACACGGTCTGTGATACACAGGCCAGGGTGCACTCTCAGAGCATTCAGAGGGGCTGGCAGATGTTGGAAAGAGCACCGAGCAAGTACACTGAACAAGCCTGCACGGTTAGAGGGCATTTTCAGCACCTCATGTGGGGTCTGCACACAGTTCTTCCAAACACCAATGGTGGTTGGTCCAAGAGTGACTTTCTAGCATGTGACGACCTGCTCAGAAGCCTGATGGTGTGGATTTTACTTAGTGTGTGGATCTGGACATCAAACTCTGTAGTTGGGGTCCAGAGCAAGTAAAGACTACAGTCCTATTCTTCGGAATGTGAGCTTTTCACTCAGAAACCTTGGATACCTCTGAGATCAGAGACAGCTTTAGCTATGCTGATATTGGAATCATGTTTTTCCACCTACCTGTTGATGAGGGGTTGTTGTAGTGACTCCAAGACCAGACCCCAGCTCAGCTGGCATTTATTTGCCCCAAGAATTTCTACTACAAGATCTGAGGAGGAAAAGACCAGATGGAATTTGTGTGTTACTATTGAAGGTTTAGATTCTAAGGACAGCCTCCTCCCAGGATATCTGCCATTTTTACATAAGTTAGGTATTTAGGGCATACATCTTAACCACACAGCCAAACTAAAATCCTCACAAAATAGAAAAAACCGGAGAAAAATATGTTTCTTAACTTAAGTGTCTAAATAAGAATGGGCTTCAAAACCCATTATATCCTGCCACTAAAATGCAGGTACTCCTTCCAATATGACAGTTTAGGTTGGCGAACACAGAGTTATAATGATAAGGGTAAATAAAACTGATTCTCCAGAGCTAAGTTCACAACTGTTTCCTGGTTATCACAGTCATAGGCAACAAACTGCCTTCCTGGCCCTCTAAAAACACAATGCAAGAAAAAACAACCTCCTCAGGTTTTGTTTTGACCTATTGCTAAAGGCCATGTGCCATACTCAATGGCTGCAATTTATTAAGTTGGAGCTTCTATGGGACATGTGATTTTCTTCCTTGGTCCCAAAATGCTATGAATTAGCAGAGAATCTGAAGTCTTTACTTGCTGAATATGGCTCTGAGACCTGTCCCTGTAGGCAGAGCCTCCCCAAACCTGCCCAAAAGTTTTTTAACCTAAATATCTGCAGGATTGTCACCTAGTATTTAGGGCGTAGCCATAGAGTTCCTTTCCATTCCCTTGGCGTCAGTTGAACGAGGGATAAAAGAATTGCAGCCCTGTTTGTTTTCCTATTAGCTTGAGAAATGATGGGTCAACAGATATTTGAATCTAGCCACCTTTGGGGCCCTTTTACAAACAAGAAAAAGGAACAGGGGTAGTGGTGGCGAAGCAGAATGGAAGGGAACTGTGACTGGTATAACTGATCTCATTGGTCCAATTACCTGGGAGGACTCCCATCAGGCTCTGCAAAGCCTGTTTCTCAGCAGCCAGTTTCTGCTCCTGGGTCCTTACAGGCCGTGGAAACTTAGGCAAAACTCCACCGGGCCAGATGGACTCCTGAAGAAGCCGAAGGTACTGCACCCAGCGCTGTGGACTTGTTAAATTAGCCACCTGCACTTCTAGCCACCTGTGGTAGAAGAGAGACGGAAGCTTAGAGAAAGCTGAAGGAAAGGACATAGCAAGGCAGGGGACTGACTATAGATTCGTATGTCAAAATCCTAACCCTCAAGGTGATGGTATTAGGAGGTGGGGCATTTGGAGAGGTGATTAGGTCATGGGGGCAAAAAGTAAATGCCCTTATAGAAGAAACCTGAGATAGACTTCTTGCCCCTTTTGCCATATGAGGACACAGAAAGAAGACAGCTGTCTATGAACCACAAAAAGGGCCCTTACCAGAGACCAATTCTGCTGGTACCTTGGTCTTGAACCTCCCAGCCTTTAGAATAGTGAGAAATGCATTTCTGTTGTCTATAAGCCATTCGGTTTATGGTATTTTGTTATAGCAGCCCCAACAGACTAAGATACCATAAATTACATGAGCAATCAGAAAAGGACACCATAACCACTGACTCTTGCAATGGAAACCAAGCCGATTCAACAACTTGAGGTAACAGAATTTGAAGATGAGTAACAATATGAATCGTGTTATTGACTGTGCGTTCACTATGTGCCACATACTGTACAAGCAGTTTTACAGAAGAGAACACTAAAAGGGCCTTGGTCTCTGAGCAAGGCTGCACCTACACCTTTCTAGCTCTCCTCGGGTGGGAAGCATTACAACCTTCTTGGTAACATGCACAAACAGCCTTCACAGCTAAGGGTTTGGCGATCTTTACATGATTTCCTCTCTCTACCTTCTCAGCCATATCCTCTGGTCTTCAAGTCCTCATGATTGTCTTGGGGATTTCCTACATCTGCCCTTTGTTCATAATAGTTCTCTCACTAATAAGGCCCTCTTCTCACCTTGCCTGAAGAGCAAGTCTCGAATCTGCCCTCTGGTAAGACCTGTTTCAGCTCCATCTACTCCATGAAATCCCTGACCATCACAGCCGGAAGTGCTCTCCTTCTCCACAGACCTCCTTTGGCAGGTAATTCGGGAGCCAATATTTTACTTTGGAATATGAATCTTTTTTAAGGTGTTTACACCTTTACCTTTTCAACTAAATTATAAGCTGTAACAGTTCTGTGTCTTGTATTTAAAAAAATTTCCCACAGTGCTTGGTGCTCAAGAAATGGTTGACTAACTGATAACTTCTTATTTCAATAAAAAAATTTCCCTTTGTCTTACTTTAAAAAAATGAGTCAATTACTCTGAGGGGGAAGATATACTTTGGTATATCTTCCAAAGGACCTCACATTGCATTATGACAAAAATGTCCTCCTTGTTCTCTTGCATAGTGATTTAGTGTCTCATGCACATGTGTTGGGTGCAAAATGATTTTTAGCATGTGGCAAATCTGGAGTTCAGCTGGAAACCTAGAAGGTGGTTCAACATTATTCTTTTTTTGTTCCTGTTTTTTCAAAGTGATATGGTAGAAGCTGAGGTTCAAGGCTGTTGAGGTTTCCCCTTCACCCACCTCATTTCAGATGGGCATAGCTGTGTTGGTCATGGATGGACAATCAACCACTTCTATTCATGCATGGAAGACTCTGTTTGGTGCTACACCACATGGCAGCTCATGCCATTGCTCCTATACTCGAGTCACTTGTCACCCATCCAAGAGCAGAGGGGGCTGCCAAGGCAAACTTTATTTAACCTCCACTCTGCCAGACAGTCTGCATTCCACTCAAGCTGGGCATTCCAGCCATGGGGGCTGCAATCCCCCAAGCCCAGGGCTCACAAATGGTTCTAAGAATAGGAAGTGTGTAAGGTAATAGCAGGGCAAGAATGATAGCCATCGATGGAGATCAAGAGTGGCACAAAGCTGTCCTTGGCCAAAATAGCCATCACAATCGTATTTGTTATTATTAGGACCGCATCTCCTTTTTATAGGGCTTTTCATTCAGCAAGCCTAAGACGCCTGATGAAAGGGATCCAGCAGCAAGAATTCCTGTTCTTGTTTATATAAGAGGGTCACCAGAGGGAGGTGGCTGCAATGACCTGATCGGCTTCTCTGCAGGGGATTAAATGAGCCAAGATCTCCTTTGTTCACCTCAAGCCATGTATACTTCTGCAATTTTTGGTGAGGAGACTGAAGTGTCTTAGGGTCTCATCTAAGTGTCTCGGAGAGGAGCAAAGTCTTGCAAACTGAAATATTCAGCCATACAATGCTTCTTAGACTGAACATGTCACACGCCAGCAAACCTGGGTACCTCAGCCATCTTCTGGGTGTGTCTTACAAAGCAAGAGTTTGATTCTTTTGAATGAACATTAATTTACCTGATGGGGACAGGACCTCACATTGCATTATGACAAGAATGTCCTCCTTATTCTCTTGCATGGTGATTTAGTGTGTCACGCATGTGTGTTGGGTGCAAAATGAATTTAGAATATGGCGAAATATAAATTTGTAAACTTACAGGAATCTATAAGGCAACTTTTCAAACTCTAACTCTAAATGGAAAGGCTGGGGAGAGAAATAAAAGTATGAAAAAGTAAAAATAAGCACCTGATGATGAGGATGAGCCTATGAGTCAAATTTGTGGGAGCTAAAAAGCACACCTCACTAACTAAAAGGACTGACACCTTCAAGTAAGTATCAACTGCTGATAAGACAAAGACACTGTCAAGGTCTGTACATATGAGGCACAGAACTGGCCAACAAAAGGCCCTGGAAGAAGTCAGGTCCAGGAAGGTAAGAAACAGGACCTCTACAAACTGGCAGAAATAAGGAGGGACAGAGTTTGGAAAGCGGCTTCTAGTATCTGGGAGCTGCAGAGTTTCAGCTTTCCTTATTCTTCTCCACACTCTGAAGACACAAACCACACACTTGCACCACACATTGTTTAAACATTTGCTCTGTTTCCTGGATTCTCCTCTTGCCCACGTTCTGCCCACCCTTCCCCCTGTCAGCAAACAGAGGCTTTATCCTAGTCCTTTGGGCTCAGCATGGTCTTACTTCCTAGCCGCAGGCAGCCTGTGTAGAAGACAAATCCTTCCTGTTCACAGAACTTCTGATCCATGGTGTCTCATTAAAAATGATGAGTATGCTAATCAGGCAGAAAAACATGACAAAGCCCAAACAAGAAAATCACCACCACTACTGCCACTGCCCCTCACACAATACAATCTCTAAAATGTTTAAGCTGTCATTCAATTTCTAAGACATACTTTGTTATCACCCACAATGTATTTCTTAAGTTGTAAATGGCTATATTCAGAAATCTGGTGTACTCTGCCTTGCCTAACACCTGGATGGAACCAACCACCACAGGTTCTTGACAGCAATGAAGAAGGTGGAGATCTCTTCATCCAAAGATCTCGCCTCTCCCTTCCGTCCCTACCTTCCCTTCCTTGGGTTCTATCATCCTTCTCTAAGGTGAAGTTCCATACACACCATCATTTCTTTATCTAACTTTATTAACTCTCTTAATCATGCTTGGTTTATTTGGGAACCGGCTAGAGCATGGAAGACAAAGAGATTAGGTGTAGGATTGTTAAAAGGAACAGACCGCTCAACCTCTCTCTGTTAACTCTCTTCATCTCACTATTCTACACTGCATTTTTCTATTCTTAACATAAGAGTGAGAAGGTTGGCCGGGCGCGGTGGCTCAAGCCTGTAATCCCAGCACTTTGGGAGGCCGAGGCGGGTGGATCACGAGGTCAACAGATCGAGACCATCTTGGTCAACATGGTGAAACTCTGTCTCTACTAAAATTACAAAAAAAAAATTAGCTGGGCACGGTGGTGCGTGCCTGTAATCCCAGCTGCTCGGGAGGCTGAGGCAGGAGAATTGCCTGAACCCAGGAGGCGGAGGTTGCGGTGAGCCGAGATCGCGCCATTGCACTCCAGCCTGGGTAACAAGAGCGAAACTCCGTCTCAAAAAAAAAAAAAAAAAAAAAAAGAGTGAGAAGGTTAAAAAGAGATGTGTATCTCTATAGAGCTCTCTTTGAGTGTAAGGAATGGAATTTATGTGTCTGAAGTCCAATACATCACAGCTTTTCCAGCATCAGTTTCTGGAATCTGCTGGTACCACTTACTATTAGGCTGACAGAAATCTAAAGCTTCACGGTCAAAACATACACATATTCCTCTCACTATTCATTAGATATTATTTATAATGAATCATGTACTAAATACAAATGCTATTGTTTATGTAATACAAGATGGATGAGGTAAATATGCTAAAATAAATATGGTAGAGAATAGCCTTAGATAGCACTGGTTTTATTTTCCACTACTATTCCAAGTCTGATATTTGATTTAGAGATATCTCTTTCTATTATCCTGCCTTCATCCCAAAGAAGAGAAGAAAAAACAACCCAAACAAGGTCTCTTCTGTCAAGCCATCTCTGAATGATTCAGAGCCTTACTAGGGGGGCTAGAAATAGCCAATAAAATACCAAAAAACCCACCCCCCCAACATTTTGACTCCAAGACACTCAAGAACTTCACTTATGCCAGACAGGGGAGAAGAGAGGATGTGGAGATCAGGGCTTGTCACTACGTGGGGACTGTACATCTACTCCATGTTCAAGGGAACCTGGTCTGAAATAGCTGCAGATAGAGGAATGAAGCAATGACTAAAAAGGAGACAATTTAATACTAGGGCTTAAGATGGCACTTGAAGGTTAGCAGAAGGTCATTTCCCATGAAAACAGCAGAATCAAATCTCATGAGTAAGAGGAGAAGGCTTTAGAGACCATGTCTAATCCAATTAGCCAAATCCTCTTCACTTCTTTTGAGGCAGCAGCTATGGCTGAGTGAGAAAGGGTCTTAAATCGGTATGGCTTAATGAAGAGGAGAAAGGGAATAAGATACTAAAATCATAAAACAAAAAATATTCAGAAGAGCCATAACAATATTCTAAATAAAAATGCCTGGTGAAGTCTAAATAAAAGAAAATAACAGGGCCATTCCTTCCAGCCTATTTGTCTGTTGGCTATTTATCTCTATAGACAATCCAAGGGCAATTATGCTTCAACTTCATCTTAAGATACCAAATACAGTTCAAAGGCAATGAGACA